TTTCTAAAATAATTTTAGTTTAAAATAATTTAAGTTAATTTTAGTTTTTAGGGTACTTTTTGGAAATGTGCTAGAATTGGTGAAAGAAAAAGCCCATATGTGGCTTTTTGCTGCGTCTGTATGGCCTTTACTATTTTATTTTGGTCGTAACATTCCTACATGGGTCATCCTGGCCAATGCATTTGGTGTGTATTCCAAAATTATATCTTAATATATTTATGTATCTAAGATGTGTCCGAGATATTTTTCTGATAGGAAAAGATAGTTTCCAGTGATGCATGATTTCATGTTCGGGTTCATTATTAAACTTCAACCATATTTCACTGTCTCGAATTTCTTCAGATATACCTGAAAATTTTGTCTCCCTCAAAATACTGTAGAAAAATTATGGACACGATTAGGTATATATGGCTTTATTTGTAAAGTAATCGTCCGACAGAATTCGGTTTAATCACCGCATTCGCGTTACAGGTGACTGATGCAGGTGACTCTCGGAACATCTCGTGTCATCGAACTTGAAGTTCGAAGTGGAAATTGGCACAAATAAAATTTTCAATTTTTGTGATCAAGCTCTTAAAATTTTAGATTTTCCATTCTTTTTAATAATTAACTTAATTTATTCAAACAACATATTTTTATAAGACGAGCTAACTTTATCAGTCCGGTTACTCCAATATTTTTAATAACATTTATATTGATTCGTAGATATATTCAGTACGAAAATTATATTTGATCGTTGGTAATTATGTAGTATAAGAGACCACCCTCCGATGACCCTGACTTTGACATATGTTGTCAAGGTCACCTTTCTGAGTGACCTTCAGAAGGTTTTAGCCCTTGGTCATTGTTTGTTAAAAAGTTATTAACAAAAAAAGTTTGGAAAATATAGCAGTTATTTTGAGTACTGGAAGACATAAATGACTAATATATATGTTGAAATAGTTCACGCATACACTTTTACCACGAACCCATGTGACCGCAAAGGGGTGATAAAGAATTACAATAAACTAAGTATATTAGAACGAATTTGCAGTTCAAAAGAAACATTACCGTTATTAAAATTCAATCTTTTTGGCGGTCGAGCCTGTACGCCATCCAGATGTACAATCTGTTAGAAAATTGTTTAATATATTAATGTTTACAATTATACACATATATAATGTTATAAATTTGTGACATTTATATATGTGTATATATATTAATATTATTTAACATAATAAATGACATCATTAAATTAAATAATAATTGTTTTTATATAAGTTTCAAATTTTGATTTTTTTATATAAAAAAAAACCATTTTATAGATCTGAAGATAATTATATGTACAATCATCAAAATAATAAAACAGTATATCTACTATAACAAAACGCTTACTTGATTTGATATAATATATTGTTCTACAACATCAACATCGTCGTTCCACGTCTGCACGATTTGCACGCGTTTTCCGCTACCATTGTTTAAATAGAATTTAAAAATTTTGTATTGAGATTTATCACCTACATAACGTGGAGCGTCTATGCCATCAACGTAACCTACTACCTCACTGTAAGAATAATAAAGTTATGTACGTACTGTTTAAAATATTTAAACAGTTAGTGGATATGAATTGTTTTTTAGATGCAACATAAAAAATTGTTACAGACCACAGGATATTAAAAATTGTAAGGACAAAACTATAACCTGAAGTCCATAGAAAAGTAAACATAAATATTTGTATTTTAAGTTTTTATAAATAATAAAAATTTAGGAGTAAACTTACACAGTCGAATCGTACATTTGAACATTATCCAGCATTTCGTTAGAA